GAACAGCGGAACTTTGTAACTAAACAAGAAATTATGTCTGTTTAATAGAATTAAAGAGAAAGTATTATCATATGAAACAAGCAACTTAAACAACTTACATTGAAAGAAATGTTTAATAAAGCAAACAAATAAATATTAAGCTTTTTCTTTCTGTAAATTTTGATACCCTTTAGATCATAATTGTTCTTTATTTCATAAATTACGATTTCATATTTTTAATTTTATAATTTCTGCATGCCATCTTACCAGATTTAAACTGATGATCTATAATCCAGAATCGCCGAAGTCCCGACGAGTCCGGATTAACAACTTTTGACTGTACTGCAGATTCAAACTGGAAACATTCAAGCAATAAAACATTTTCAAAGCACTAGCAATAGCATTCATAAAGAACAATTTAATAATATCCATAAATGGCAACTTAATATCATTTTAGTTGCATTTTAGTACTGTTTGCTGATTTGAAGTAGGTAATTAACTTTCATAAGTTTTAGTTTTTGGTACTATTCTGTTACAGTGGTGTCAGTTAAAAATGCACTACATTATTTTTGCCACCAGTGGTCGCAAAATATAAAATTATGAAATAACAGAATTTGAAAGACTAAAAAAAAAAAAAAAATTAGTTCCGTGAAAAGTAAAATTTAATTTCTTAATTCAGAAAGAAAGTAAAGGTAAAAGTATAGTTTAGGGGTACCCCTTGGCGAAACTTGGAGATTTTTCGCGGTACATGGATACCGATTTTGTGCAATTCTTTGACTCGTTATTTTGGCTTGCGAAGATATTCTTCCACTAAACACTTAGCAGCTGCTCAATTGTTTAACAAGAAATGCTTAGTTTTAGGAATGAACATTCTACAGAAGAAATAGTACTGACCACTGAAGCATATCCAATGATTGGCAAAGAAAAGTTTGAAACTGAACTAAAAGTATTCTATTATACGTCTGATATCCATGAATACTAAAAATTAATTGAGCTACTGAAATTTATCTTCGAAAATAATCTAGATGATGTTCTTAGTGAAATTACGAAACTGATAAAAATTCTCTTGAGAGTTCTCATGACTACATCAGAGGCAGAACGCTGCTTTTCAACATTGAAAAGAATGAAAACTTTTCTAAGAAGCACTATGAATTCGGAAAGACTAAATGCGCTTGCATGGCTTTCAATAAAGAAAAATTTCCTCGGTTGTCATCTAGAGATCAAGGAGAAAATTACTGATCTTTTCGCGCAAATTAAAACAAAAAAATTGGATTTCATTTTTAAATGAATAGACAAAGATTGAACTGTAACAATTTTGGTTAAAGTAACTAAGAAATGTTTAGTTGCTTTCTTGCAAAATTTCATGAAGTTTCAAATAAATTTTCTTTTTATATTCCTTTTACACAATTTTTAAACAAAGTTTAAAATTTTTTGGAACAGCACCCCCACTAATTTTAGCCACGAGCCGCCACTGCCCATGATTAAAAAATTCCCAGAATCATGCACCCGATTATGTCACAATAGGGTTTCCATAACATTCAACTACTCAGGCTACCATAAATGAAACAACAACTTGGCGATAAATCAAACACAACTTCGCCATAATACAAGGGGTACCTTAAAGTCTACTCTACCCACAGTAAATTTTTCATTTAAAATTTTAATCTAGAATATTCTGCACATAAATAAAAAATAACAAAATTTAATTTTAACAGGTGGCATAAAATTACAAATATAACTACAATATTGCAAAAAAATTTAAGTTTTTGAATACAACCGACATCACATAAATTCTGTCAAATATGTCTACAAATGGCTGCGAGCAGTGCCCCGCTGACGTTTATTTTTTAGCAGTCTGAAAATATAATGCTGCTAGAATGAGTGTCATCAATCCTGTAACATAACAATCAGAAACAATGACTAGAAAATATTCCTTGATTTCCCAACATAAACTCCCAAATACAGGAAGAATATGCTCAACGTTTTGTCTTTTTGTAAAAAGACAAAAACATTAGGCATGTTTTTTTTTTCCCCCCCTACTATTTCTACGACTTTGTTGGCTCCAACGGTTTTATTTCTTTTAAGAGACATCAAACTATTTGTGCATACCTCCCTCAAGGATTTATTCCACTCTACTGTCGTACTATGGCTGATTTCTAACTGAAGTTGGCAAAATTCAATCAACATGAATTCCTGACAGCACAGATAGTTAAAACGAACAGTATTCAGGAAAGAAAAATGGGAGCATTAAAATCATGTTTTGGTTCTTAATTATTTTCTTTCACAGCAAAAACGTCTGTAACACCATATAGGAGCACTGTTTCAGTCAAAAGTTAACTTCATCAGATGCTTTTGAAAACAAAGATCTATTGCTATGAATTACTCTTTTATCCTGAAAGAATCTTATGGCAGCCTCTTCGTCATTAGGTAATTGTCAAATTGCGTAATCCATAGCACTAAAAAAATGACAAAATATAACAAAAACAATAATGAGTGACAGATATTTCAAGTGAAAGCTACATATCTCTCAAGCCATATTTGGTGTGGTTGTTGGCATATCTTTAACTGATGCCATTCTAACCGAATGAGACACATTCCGCAAGAGAAGAAGAGGAAAATGACCTTGCTTGTTTGCATTAGCTGTACATATGTCACGTGATCTCTGAGGTAATCTGCATTGTATGTTTATAAAAGGTATACATAAGTCACGTGATCAATGAGGTCATCGAAATGTATCTCATTGTACCTAGTTTCTTCAAATATTCTCACTAAGAATGAAAATAAAACCTAAATTTAAGCACACCAGTGACTGAGCAGTAAAATCTTGAATGCTCATAGTTCAGTCTGAGTTTCAAATTATCAACGGGCTGGCTGCATGGGCATTTAAATGGTTTTCCCATGTGTAACGTGTATATGAGCCAGTTTCCCTCAAGTCCTCCGGCAAGGCATCACTCCTCTTAGAAAGACAGCCCTCGAGTGCTTTGCCATAATCAAATAAACAAACCTAAATTTTAAGTGAAAATATTTACTACAAATCAATAGAAATGCAAATAATGGAATGAAACATTTAAAGGTAATGCCAATTTAATTACATCATCAGCATTTGGGTGATATTTATGCATGAATAACCATTAAGATGACTGACTCATGCCTACTGAATTAAAATTGTAAAATACTGCTATTTACATTCAAACAAATATATCACTCTTCTATTTAAAACTTATTATTAATCCACCATCCATTTTCTACAATGCTAAACACTAATAATCTAGAAAAGTATTTTGATACACTCGAAATAATTTGAATACTGAAATGGGTAATTACCAAAAGCTTTAGATAATACCTGATCATTTAAAAGTTTTTTCATATGCATAAAAAAAGGGAAGCACTTCCGCAGAGAATGTAACATTGCCAACATTGGCCATAATAGTTCAAACTTGGTAACCCATCGGATTTATCCTATTCGCTTGTTCGAAGTTTGCAACCATTCTCTTGCGTTTATTTTGTTGAATTAACACTGTCGTTGTTCGCATTTGCAGATTTATATTATTCTTCTCTTATTTATTATTATTTTTTCTGAATTTTTAACAACGAATAGATAGAAATATTTTCGTAGGTAGATGCCGGTTCTCGGTTCGGGATGAAAGGAGAGGTGAATGCTAATTTGTAACACGGCTGTCACGTTGTATTCTTAATTATTAACAGCTCTAAGAACCATGAGGTTTCCGAAGTCTAAAATAATTTGATTTCGTAGACCGAAAAAATGTGCATGTGCATTTTAAATAATTAAGTAATGCTTTTATTTTTATTATTGGTTATTGTCATCTAAAATTATGAGAATAAATCAATTTTTATGGAGTAAAATTTTAACAACATAACATTGTTAATGCTTTTCTAACAATAACCTTTCAGAGGATAGCAGGTGTGACATAAATAGATGATTAAATTGAAATAAAAAATATTGATTATCTAAGATGTCAGAATAGTTCGATGCATCACCATGGTCATCAAAATTAGCAAACCACTGCTGGTGTAAGGAATATATTGTTTTCTGTGTTAACTGGAATTTATGACAAATTTTTTCCGTATATCACGCTTAACCGGTTAATTTCAGTATATTAATACTAATTTATATTTTTAAATAATTTTTATTTCCGTTATAAATCCTTATATATTGTCTTATGCTTAATATATTCTTTTCTGTGCTAACTTGAATTTAATACACATTTATTTTCGTATATCACGTTTAACCGGTTAGTTTTACATCTACATGCTTATTATCTGTGAATTTTTACTACCATATGCTTAATATATTGTTTTGTCTGCTAATTTGAATTTACATGCACTAAAAATCACGTTTACAAAATATCATGTTTACGGATCGGCTCATCGTCAATGAACGGCGAGCTTGGCGAGTAAAAATGCAACGGCGCCAACGGGTTCTCTGCGGATGAAAACCCAAAAAAAGTCCTTACACACTGAAATTCCATAAAAGTTCTACTATATGATCTTATTATTTTAAATTCGAAAAGAGAAATACGAAGCACAGGAAAACATAAATTAGTAATATCTTTTTCATTCATACGTTTTTGCCCTCTCTCGATCAACCGCCCTCAGTAATAAAGTAATTGTATGTACATTATTGCATTTTAAATACTGCCAAAAATATCACAGACCTTAGTGGTTAGTCAATTCAGTACGTTATTGCTATTTGAATAAAATGCAGTAACTGTCAGATCTGCACAGATGCAAAAAACAGCGTTTCAGTTACATATATTAATCTTAATTAATAATATTTGGCAAAAAATTTACCATCTATTAAAAGCTAAAACACTGAAATACTTTATATTTCAAATGAAATTCATGTTTTTTTAGCTGAATGATTACAACAATGAAAAGCAACACGTTTCAGATAAACTTCAGCGTTTCTCATAAAATGTAAGTATAGTCGTTTAGCTTCAAATGGTAATCACTTCTATAATAACACATATACATAATAAACAGTAACTACAAATACTTACAAAGAATGTTTATTACTCGCTTCAAGATATAAAAAAAAAAACGTTTTTCCAGCTCAGACAAATTTTTACCGCGCAATGCTCTTTTATTTTCGTATTAATCTGTGATGCCACAAGCGACGTTATTTCAGAAAACTTTAACCTTGTATTCTTACATGCTCAATTTATTTAATTTCAAATACAGCACGATTTCCAAATGCTAGATTGCTTCTATCGTTAAAAAGATCTGAATATATCTAATTTAACTCAATAATTTAAACCTGGTGTTATAGCTTGACCATGTAACCTTAAACGCCATTTTTTACGTTCTTTCTTTCTATCTATTCTAATACTTAATAATATCTATAGCTAGTACTTAGTATTACTATATCTATAATCTACACCACTTATATTTTTACTAAAAACTCTTTGCATTTCTTCATAAAATTCTAATAAATTTTATCTCTTGTGAATAAACATAAAGGAATTCGAAACTTCAGACCAAATTAAGCTCGTAAAATTAAACGAGAGCTTAAAACTGAATAAAATAAATCAATTCATAAATAATTTCAATTTAAAAACTGCAGATTTCCTTCTGCATTTCTTTTCTAAGTGTAAAATGATGCAAAGAGAAGAACCAAAATATTAGTAGCATATTTTACCGTTCGGATGATAATGTAAAAGAAAGTACAGGAGCAAGCAACCTTTATCATAATATATATAATCTCAACATTTAGATTTTAGTTTGGTTGTCGAGGGTACACTGCACATATTGGTTGAAAACATTCTTATATTAAGCGTTAGGGTGTTTATCACACAGCATCGGGCTGTATTGTAATGTAAACTGTGTTTATTTGTGCTGTGTTTATTGAACTGTGTTATTACTGATCCCACAGCGCCATCACAAATGAAACCACTTTGACAATCTTGTTACATTGTAAAACTTGTTATGACAGTGTTGCTGTTGTCACTAATCGAAGTCCAGGACACCTTGCCGCACAAGTGAATCGCTGACATCATCCTGCTCAGAGTACAAAAAGATCTCTAGTAGCTCTAGTCTCAGGGAGACAATGTCAATGACGCTTCCAAAGTCTTGCATCAGCACAGATTGATCAAATGGTGCAGGACCTGAGTTCCTAGTTTTGAAAAGCATCTTTGCGGAAAATTTGTAGGTCTGAGGGTATCGCCAAGAAGTGGGAGCAATTTATGGGAGATCTGTGTTTTCCTCTGAACAACTATAATATGTTCTTTACATCCGACCTCCAAAATTCAACTGAAAGAGAAGTTGTCGAGTTGATAAACAAAGAACAGAAATTTGTACGCAGTATAAACTGATTTAGGCAATTATAAAGGCAACAGGCACAGAAAGAAATTGAAATATAAATGATAAAAAATACCTTACAAAAGAGAAAATACATCAGTAGCAGTATACAAAATACATCAAATATTCTTATAATTTTGGGCTTCATCCTAAGCGTTGCAGCAATACGTTTTTCTACTAATGGTAGAAAACCTTAATACATGCAAAACAAGACATCCTTCTAAATTTTACGTGTGATTTCTAAACTGTACGAGTTTCCCGTTTCAGTTTTCAACATTCTTCCATAGAGCATACGTCATCTATAATTCCCAGAAGAATAATTTTAAAAATTGATAACAAGTTATTTATTCAGAATGTCCGGAATTATCGAAAAGATAAAAAATGTACCCGTTCATATGGTAAGATTTTGATGAGAGTAAAAATTAAAATGATTAGTGGAATTATCCATTCTTAACGGTAAATTTCAGTAAATATAAGTTCATTGCGTTTTTTAATAAAAGTGTACAGCGCTTACTGTAATAGTTTGCTTGTAAGTATCTTCTAAAGTGTAATATTACCCCAGAATAAGATTTATATGTAGCCGAATCAGTAAAACAATAGAGTGTTGAAAGCTTTATTAATGATTCGGTTCAGTACGAAACTGTATAGAGCATATGAATTGCATGGTTCTTTTCGTAAAAAGCTCTGATATTTTACTATTCAGCTCTGCTAAAAGGGTGTAACTGTATGGGCAACTTCCTAAATTTTTTATACGTATTGTGAATGGAAACTCTCATTCATTCGAAAGTTCTTAGAAAATCGAACAACACTCTTAAACTTTACTACAATGAAATATTTAACATGAACTCCTTTTGAAAGACCCCCCCCCCAGGAAGATGACCCTTCTGAAACAAAAAAATAATCCTTTTAAAGGCTGATATTAGTTACTTATATCAGAGAAATGAATCGTTGTTTTAATCAGTTCAATAAATCATCAGTTTCAAAAGCAGCAATGTATTTTATTTTTATATTTCTTTTAAAGCAAATCTGTCCTGTTCATGTGTCTTGTTTAAGATCTAACTAAATTGTTACGGTGTGAAAGATATAGTGTAAGTTAGACTACCGCAATAATAAGAAACATAAATTTTAGAAGAACTTTAACTCTGATAAACATCAAAATATTTTTATTGTTTCCTAAAGTTACATAGTTATCTAAAGATTAGATATTTTATTGATTTATGTTGATAAATATGTAGTGTGTTATTTCATTTTTAGGATTTTGATGGTCAAAGGAAGGCTGAAAGGATTTTTCAAACTATAATCCTCGTTTTTGCTGTAAGTTATTAATTTTTAAAGATTATAAAATAATCAAGTATTTAACATTTACTCTGTATAAATATGCATATTGTACTTAAATTCAGTGTTCTTTAAATTTTTCTTTTTCATGGGCAAGTCAGCTGAACTTAATAAATGGACTTTGCCTATAATTCATAAGAATGTGCTTGTACATTTAACATTATTGCATGCTGCTGTTATGTTTACTTAGTTTGAAAAACTTCATAACAATTATAATTAATATATAATATATTAATATATATTATATATTATAATTATATTATTGTTATTATAATTATAATTGTTATGAATTATAATATTATTCATAACAATTATAATTATTTATTAAAAGCGTTAATAATTAATACTAAATTCTGTGTAAAAAGTCTGCTAGTTCGATGCAGCGAAATGTTCTACGTAAAGTATTTTCGTGCACATAATAGAAGAGGAATTTAGCTTTCAGTATTCATTTTATTGAATTTTAAATTCAAATTTTTGCATAACATAGCTTATAAAGTGGTCATATTTTTAATACTTATCTACTCTGTCTCTTTTCTAATAGTAATATTAGTTGTTCATGATTTGAACAGTTTTTTAACTTGTATATGTGATTATTTTAACTCTTTCACAGCGAAGTTGCCTGAAACATCCATGCATTCAGACATTGATAGGTCACCCAAACATCTGCATCCATTTTCTACCTGATGCTTTTCTCATTACGTTAGTGCATGGCTGATTAGCTTCAGAGATTGTCAAATGACATGACAGCTATTCTTTTCAAGCAATTAAAAGTAGCTCTTTTATTTGAATGCACCTTCCCTCTCTTTTGTTTAGCGTTAACGTGTAGCTATTGATGCTCGCAGTTGCAAATCTGTCCCAAGGGAGAACTGCACACGGTTAATCTTTGGATTATGGTAACTTGGCAATTTTTTGGTGACCAACCCTGCTACAGCAACCTGCTAGTTTTTGTTTGGACGCCATTTTGTTTTCACGAAGTAAAGGCATGTTTTTTTTTTTTTTTTTTTTTTTTTTTTTTTTTTTAACTCAACATTTTTTTTCCAACAATCTGCTAGCCAAATTACACTTATGCTAGAACTTTTATGGAACAAAAGTGCTTAATCATGACAAATGTTAGGTGCAAAATTGGGAGAAACTGCAGAATCGCAAACTGCTTGCCGCGTTTTTAAGAATTGCACATACACGGTATCCATGTACACGTCGATCTATTTTCACTTAAAAAAACATCCCAAAATTGCACAAAAATGGCATTGCGCACATTCTTGACTTTATCCATGTACACTGCTAAAGTCCTAGCTAGTAACCTTTATCGCCTTACCAAAATGTCACCAAACTACCTGTTACCATATTCCAAAGATTAGCACTGCACACAATGGCTGAAACTGTACTAAGATCCCCAAAAGAGAAGTAATCACTTCACTTAAGTAGGTTAATGCTGTAGTATTCTACTTTGCATGAGGGAAGAAAATCTATTCCAACAGACATTCGTATACATGGGCATTTCAGATGTTTGAAAGATTTTGACAGATTTGAAATGTAAAAGATTTTCAGATGTTTGAAAGATGACAGATTTTGGCCTCTACCATTGTGAAAGGGTTAATTTTTTAATCATGTTTTGCAATCACTTCTTATAACCTTCATAAATACAATTGTAATTGAAAGACTTATCTTTAAACTCATCATGTAATTATTTGATTTTTTAATATTTTCTTTTCGGATGTGAACGCATTAAATAAATGAATGAAATACTTAATCACCATATACTACTGGTATCATTATGGTCCAATGATATTTACAATTACTCTTGTTTGAAATAAATTTTGCTTAATACGTATATATGATTAACTGCTTTTTTTTCTTAAAAATGTGTCTTGGTTTACTTACTATAATCTTGACATTTAATAGTACATTCAGATTTGTGGCTTGTATACTAATGAGTGACAATGGAAGAGGGGTATTAAACCAACATATTTTAGTACAATATTTATTAACTGAAAAATAACCAATTTTTTAAAAATTATTATGTTATAATTGATGGGAACTCTGTATTGGCGTGCAAACATTCAGAATTTAGCATGTATCCAGACAAAGATAATGATAACCATCAAATGAGAATTGGAAAGTAGAAATGATGTTTAGTCTTTGTGAAAACATTAAATATGAAAAAGCCATTTTATATATGTATATAGACCCAAAGCAAGAGTAGATATATTTGCTACATTTTGGTGATATTGGGATGCTTTTCTTAACTGACATATTTCCAAAACTCTTCTCCAAATTCTTTAGCTTTTGAGGTTAGATCAGTTTCATCAAGTTATAATTTAATTTTCTAATTCTTTTTTTTTTTTTTTTTTTCAGTGTTAAATGTTTTAAAAATTTTTGCAGTACTATGTTTTATATTAAAATTCCTTTTTGAAAGGGAAATACAAATATTACTGAATAACTTGAACTTTTTCCGAGTCATGAAATTTGATCTCTTAGTCTTCAGTCACCTTTTTAATTTCTACACCATATTTTTGAATATTATAATTACAATTTTGATGTTTATGTAAGTGATCAGATCTATTTTGAAAGCATTTCAAATTGTCTTTGAAGCTCATCTATTAATATGATAAATTTCATTTTGAATGCGTTGATGCTACTGATTATTTCAAGTGTTTTCTTTTATTTTCTTTGTAGTTTTAAATTTATACAATACAAAGTCTTTAATCCAGACCTCCATAATCCGGAATGATCTATAATTCAGACGAATGCATTTACGCATGTGCATAATACGTTTACGCATTATGCACATGCGTTTAATGCATTTTACGCCTTTAATGTATAATGTACGGTATAAGCTAGGCTAAAATTATCTAATTATCTATTTCAGTTAATGTTGCAGATTGCGTTGTTCTCTAATCTTCTAATTGGATCCGGCTTATTATTTTTTGCAGACTATTAGAGCAATTTTATGTAAAGTAAGCTTGAACTTTTGATTATGTCAAAAAGAGCTTCCAATTCTGGATCTGCCAAAGGATCTAAAAAGCGAAAGCATGTTTCGATGTCAATCAAACAAAAAGTGGAATTGCTGCAAAAAATGTTGTCCTTTGTTTCTCTAACCATTCCTAAATTCGTTTATCAATTTCACGCTGCTCTGTGTGTGGGGGGACGTCACGGCGTGCAATGAACTGGAAGTTGATCTTTCAGCATTATCCTCATCATCAGGGCAGATGATTTTATTTTATTCTGCTTATAATTCCTTACTAAATGTAGGATTTCATCTCGATGTACTTCGTCGTTGATATGATTTAAATCAAATTCCTCGTCATTATAAATATCACGAATACACATCAAATAGTTTTCTGGTTGCAATTTTCTAATTTCGATTATGCGTAATGTATGCTTTACGCATGTGCGTATTGAAAGAAATGTTTAATAAAGTAAGCAAATAAATATTAAGCTTTTTTCTTTTGTAAATTTTAATACCCTTTAGATCATAATAGCTATTTCATAAATTATGGTTTCATATTTTCAATTTTATAATTTCTGCATGCCATTTTACCAGATTTAAATTGATGATCTATAATCCGGAAAAACCCCTAATCGCCAAAGTTCGGACGAGTCCGGATTAAAGGCTTTGTACTGTATCGCTTAATTTCAATGCAAAATCTGTAAGAAAGGTTAAATCACCAAGCCAAGTTTCGTCATTTAAATTTACACATTCTTGATCTAGTCTTAAAAAAAAAAATTATCCAATTTGATAAGTCATGAAATCATTGCAGAAATTTATTTCTACTTAGCTACTTTATATGGTATATAATAATAATTTTTGCTATCAAACATAAAGTTGCAGTTGGAAGAGAAACCAACTGAGGGAACTTTCTTGAATGAAATTAAAAAGGAAATCTGGCATTTCCAAGAAAATTTCTTCTGTAACTTCCTTGTCAGGAAATGGTTTATATTTTTGGTACAACTCTGATAAATGCCCTAATTTCACCAAATGTGGCGATATGTGTTTTGCGCTGGTTTTTGGCGCGATTGCGTGTTGTATGGCAACCATGTCGACGTTGAAAAGTCTTTTGGTGGAGTAGTTTAAATTGCTAGTTTGTTCATGTCGCGTGTGTGTTTGAAATGGCCTATGTTGCGATGAAAGACGTGGTGGGAAGGTTTCAGCCGCATATTTTAGATTGTGTGCAAAGTAAATTTAGTATGAAAGGTACGATGTTGGAGTTGTTAACGAGTCTTTTGTTCACGGATGTATTTATGGGGATCGTAGTGTATTTTTGGAATTTCTGTGGGAGTCGGGACTTTTTAAAATGGAGTTTGACGTGTCCGAAATGCAGAGCTGATGTGAGAACTCGGACGAAAAATGGTGTTTCTGACAGACTTGTGTGGGTTTGCAGTAAAATTGTTGCTAATAAAGTATGTGAGTGTCAGCAGAGTTTAAGGTTTGGATCTTGGTTTTCGTGTAGCAAGTTAACGTTGGAGGAAGTTTTTATTGTTACTTTCGAAATTTTGAATCGTAGGAAGGCATGTGATTATAGCAAAATCGTGGAAGTTTTTTCTTCACAGACGTTGTGTGACTGGCGAAATTTTATTAACGAATATATTTTGGACTTTGTATGCTCTGTATCTGAGAAGATAGGGGGGAAAGATATTTCTGCTTTTAAAAGAAACTTTCGTTATGGTAAGTGCATTTTATTTTATTGTTTTTATTTTGTAGAATGTTATATTCATTGTTTTTTGTATGAATTTCCGTTTTTATTGTTGTTTTTTGAATTGTCTGAAATTTATTTTAGTTTATTTTCTTGATTTGTTTTTAGTGTAGATTGTGCAATTCGTAGATGTTTTTTAAAGTTGAAACAGTGTGTACATGGTATTCTTTGAAATTTATTGTTGTTATGTTAATTTATTAAAGCGATGTGTGCGTAGTTCGTAGATTCGTTCGTCGCCTACAGTGTGCCATTCGTAGATGTTTTTTTAAGTTAAAACATGTCGCT